ATGTCTCGGTACTTCTTCCTCAGGATGGAGACCTGGTCTTTAAAGAGGACAGGGTCGAGCCTCATCTGAGAGTGGATCAGCGGCATATAGCCAAACCAGCTGGCGAAAGTGTTCATGCAGCTCTGCCGCTGGGCAAAGTGGTCGGGGTCGGCCCAGCGCGAGGCCCGGGAGGTCTGTGTGGAGAGGAGAGCAGAAATCAGACGTCAGCCACGACACAACAAGATGGCAGGAAAGGGCAGGCGCTGCGGCTGGGCTGACGCCATGCTGCAGAGCAGTGTCGGGGCTTGAGGGCGCCTGGCTCTGCGGTAGCTGAAATCTGCTCGGTGGGGGGTTTCAAACCAGAGGAAGAACAACACCCTGCCCGCAGCGGGAGCCAGTGATGGCAAGCTGGCCACCCCTGACTTTCAAAACAGCGCCGAGGGCAGTGCAGCGTGGTGACCTGAGTTCAATCATGAGCTGGCCTGACCCGAGGCATGACACCCGCAAGCAGGCCTCCCAAAGCCTGCCAGCACACTACTTCACCCCATCCCTCACTCTTTTCTTTTTAAAGCCTCAAGCTACTTCAGAGATAGAACAAGTCCTTAAAAACCACCATGAAAGACAGGAAGGCCACCGCTTTCCACTGGAGGTGCACATCCTACGGCCAGCTGCTGCCCACAGCCTTCAGCCGTACAAGGAAAACAGACTGCAATTATTATGGTTTCTCAAGTCAAAAACACACTTGCAGTCCAGATCTGCAGAAATTTATACACGAGTAATTTCAACCAGCTTGTAACTAAGCTCAGCAGAAGTCCTTACATGTTTGGTATTACTCATGCAGGTAGACGTCCTGCAGAGAAAAGCAGGGTGCTTCAAGGAATCCCACTGGCCAAGGCCAGTGCATAACACGGTACCATCTTACGGACAGAGAAAATTAACTGAAATTCCATGTTACATCATGTTAAACTCTGACCTGAGGAAAAAAACATGGTCTTTACGTGCATACATGCAAAATACTGTGGCCCGATTTTCCAAAGTTCAGGGCAGCTGTAATTCCTATGAAAGTCTATGAAACTCAGCACCTCTGGAAAAATAAGGCCGTAACAGCTCTGAAGCAGTTATTATTCTCTATCTGTACCTAAACTACATGTATAAACGTAATAAAACTATTACTTAAGATAAACTATAAACGCTGAGAACTTAAGTTTTGCTTTGTGCCACTTCTCATGCATCTCTGTATAGCACTTCTGTTTCCACTATACTTTAAAAACAAATATAAATTCATAAACTCAAAGTGTGTTAATTAAAATGCAAAGAAACTGATAAAGTCAGGGACTTGCCAAATGAATGGGATATCAGACTTGATCTTTGTCCAAGGTCTGTCCAGTTTAGCACAAGTGGTAGGTTATAATGTGCATTGATTACAGACTCTTGATTATACCAAGCCACTAAAGAGCAAGCAAAAGCTTGTTGCTAGAGGATTATAGCAGACATTCTGGCCATTAACAGTGAATTTCCATACGACTATTAATCTCTGTCACAACGTTGAGGTTATGTTAATTTTTTATTTGTCTTTCAAGGAATTATGAACATGGTCCATTACATTTCCCAAAGCTGCAGGAACAACTTGTCTTTAGGAAAGAGTTATAGTTCATGGCTGACTCAAGTCACCCACGCTATAAAAAGAAAAATGAATGTTCAGACTTTGCCAAACAGCCAATGCATGGCCCTGCGGAGAGGTGAAGCTCAAACTGGAAGCAATAGGTACTTTCTGGATGGCACCTTCCTGTTCATAGAAGGTCTCCTGGGTACCCAGATGAGTCAGAATTGCTGAATGCTACCTATACCTCAGATGAAAGTGCCGTGGCATACAGATAAGGGAGTATCTACAAACTGGCACGGCCACTCCCCAGTCAAAGGTACAAGTGATGCTAATAGGAGAAAATGTGAGGGGAAAATAGAGGGCCCCTTCTTTCTCCTGCCCCCTAGTAATCATGGTACTGTTTGTAGTGAGGATCACAGATACCGTGGCAGCACAGATGGGAGGTTGTTTAGGACTTGCAGGTTCTCGCAGGACTTGCTATTCCTCCCATTGCTCACTCACACAGGGCAGGAGGAAAAGTGCCCCAGGTTACCATGTATCCCTGTTACTAGAAGGTATATCCATTTCTGCAACGACAGAGTGCTTATCCAGTAGCTGGAAGAGGACCTAAAGCAAGCATTTCATGGCTGCTAGCGGGTGATGGTGTCACTGTGGGACAAAATGTTCCTTGTGGGAAAAAACGCTTGAATATCACAATTCACCTCTGTTGTGACAGTCTGGTGTCAGTGCTTGAATCACACTATATACTTCAAAATAGCACAGGGATGGCCCAGTACATTATATTCATTAATAATAATTAAAAATAGAAAACCTTTCAGTCACCACAATCATCAGTTCCAACAGTTTGCAATCACCATGAATAACACTGTGTGAGAAAACTATGAAGAGAAGCTGTCATCCGCAGTAGATGTTTGCCATTTCTCCTTTTCCTTCATTATAATAAGTATATCTAAAGTCTGTTTACAGTTCTGCTAAACTAAAAACTGCAAAAAAATTTGACAGAATTGTATCACTCTGTAAGCCTAACCTAGAAGTCGAACTGTTATATTATCAATGCATCCCAACTGCTAAAACATGCTGTGGATACATACCTGTCCCATCATGGTCTCCTTATACTGTTTTTTCTGTGTTACTTTGATTGGAGGCAATTTTGTCACGGCTGACACCAAAAAATTCATTAGAATGTCCTCACAATTGGCCAGTTGGTCCACCATATTCTTTAGGCTGGCAGGCAGGTAATGAGTGTACAGGTAGTGATAATATCTGGAAACCAACAGCAGTGTTATTAATACAAGTTACTGGGCTTTCAGGGATTACAAACTTCAGGAAATCTATCTCAGTCGAGACACAAGTTTTGTACTCAACTGGATATACCACTTCCTTTCGTTGGTCTCATCCTCCAACAAGAAGGGAGAACAAATCAGTATCTCATCAAGGCAGTAAATAGTGCTAATGGAGAAACAAAACATATGCCTTTTTTGTAACTGGGTTGAAAGAAATAATGCAGACCTAAGCATCAAGCTAATGGAGAAGTAGGAAAGAGAGCACCGCATTGCTATTATGTGGTAGACAACATTGATGAATTCATCCTCCACCTCTTCTTTCAAAACTGTTCAGTTGGAGAGAACTCTATTGAACTGGCCTACTACTGTCCTTATTGTTGAAATTATTCTCCTTTGGGCATCTACCATCCCCTCCTTTGCGGAGATGTGGATTAGATACTCCAGAATTTGCTGACTTTCTCCTAAAATCTAGAGAGGTCTTTGGTCTGCTGAAGTCCTAATAGCAGGGGTTTTCTCCAACATGCTGCAATATGCTGATCTGTGACATGTCCACTGTACTACATTTCTAGAGTAGCCAGAATACTTTGCAGTCTGCAACTGTCACCCAGCATATACCCAGAGCTGGTCTGGAAGTAACCTCCTTTCTGCTATGCTACAGGCCATTCAGTCGAGCAGCTTAATGAATTCGGGAACTCTTTGAAGTGTGTAATTCCTGATGTTAAAAAGAGCAGTCCGACTGCCTCAAAATACAAGTGACTTCAAAGAGACCCAACAAGCGCAATAATGATTACCAGATCCCCAGAGCTAAACCAAGAACTTAAAATTATTACCCCATAAAAAGTAGACCCATTTATTATCTTTCCATTTTTTCCCCTCCCCGGAAGAATGTTCTTCACCCCTCCCCCCTTTCACTATTTCGTTTCATATAGAAGGAGGACAGCAGACGCTTTGGGTTCTTACTTGTGGTAAATAGCAGCTCCTGTCAATACCATGGAATAGTCATTAGTCCATTTGGAGGTATACCCCCACCTCTCCTTAGTGTTGTCCCAGAAGTGGCTGCGAGCAGGGTACCCTACAATCCTCTCTGGAAAACTCTGCCAAACTGTAAAGGCAAAATCCACCTGCGGACAAAGGAATGAATACCGAAATTGTTTCAACAAATGTCAACAAAACAAAATATTACCTTGCCACTAATTTGCAATTCAAAATCTTGGAACTGTTGCAAAACATTAATTCTATGTATTTACCAGTAAATTAAACTGACTGCTTGACATTTTGCCCTATAATTATGCACATTTTAATGGTTCCTGTTAAAGGGAGTCTAGAGTATCACAGCATCACATTAACATTTTCAAGCTTGCCCTTTACATATCAAACCTTTTCAAGTTACAGAAAGAATGGGTGTAGGTGCATGTATTTATACTTAGATGCAATATAGAGTGGTAATAGCTATGTGGTAAACTGAACCTTTTGCACATCTTTGTGCATCTCACCTACCATTTCAGCACTGTCAACACAAAGCTTGGAAAATCAGGAGTCAAACACCTTAAATTACAAGGGTGGCTCAGTGAGATTAAAACAGGCAATCAATGCGGAGTCTTTTTATATTTTCCATATGTTTTGAGCCTTTGAGGTACATGCAGGTCATACTTTTAAGACTGTCTGTATGACCAAGAGGGTTACACATATAGCTTAATAAAGAGGAAGATAAGATTGCCATGTAGTTAAATGGCTTTAGGAGCCTATACTTTAAGAAAAATGCTTGACAGGGCATGAGCCACAAGAAGATGTCAAATGTTGCCAATAGTGTTTTTTTATTTTCTTGTCTTGCTGTAACTATTTTAATAACTCAAATCTCTTGAGAATTGAAAAGGTGACACGACATTGCTACTCCAGGATCCCTCCAAACAAATCCTGGTGACACTAGGAAAGGGATGATTAGGGTAGTTTGCAGAAGGCTCATCAGCACTAGACTTGAAAGGAGTTTGGTAAAAATACATACGGAAAGATTTTTATCACTGTAAAGTTGGTTGGCAGTCCCTCCACTTCAACTTAGCTTTTAGAGCTTAAGCTAGACCGAAATTTTAAAAGGAGTTAAAGAGAATTCTGATTGTCCCAGTCAAACCCAAGAAAACAAGGGCTTTGTTTCTGCACTGCACACCGAGTTCCCTCCAGTACCAGAGGGACCTAAAAACTTTGCTCAAAAATCCTTGAAAAACCTTCCAAGAACCCAAAGTCAAGGGTGTAGAGGTTAGATAAAGAGTAGCTGCTCTGAGAACAGTCACATTTTGTGTGATTACTGTCAGACTTCTCTCATTTACAAGTGTTTTTATGAAACAGAAGAGTCGCACGTGTACTGGAACACAAAGTGACTGGTTATTTTCTTTCAAGTTGTTTCAAGGAATCTGAGGCCAACTAGAAAGACAATGTGCACAAACCAGTTACCGTTGTGATAGTTCTGATCTCATCCAAATCAATACCACATGAAAGAACTAAAGGTCTTTCCTTCCCTGTAAAGGCCTTTCCCATAAAACGTGACATCTGTTTTCTTTAGAGAAGTCTGAGAATCTCAAACTTAAATAAATAATAAAGCAGCTGCACTCAGTGCTCTCACTTGTGCTTTCAAGTATCTGTCCTTGTACCACGGAGATGCGCTAAAGCAACCACCCTAAGAGAAAGCTCCCTTTATTAAAAAAACCCTAGTCCTCATCTT